CATTGAGTCAGCTATATGGATTATTCTTACCTATTACACTATTGGATTCGCCCCTTCTACCGGAAGGTAAGTTCCTAGCTCCTAACCATACCCTACCTTTTGTGGGATTTTACTGGGTTATCTGTTGTTGTTATTGTATTCCTCCCCTGCATGGGCTTCTTGTCATAATGTGGGATGCTTAAGGCTTAACTACTATGTTATCTTTTTCTCGTCATTTGATAAGTGAAACTACTATATGCAACTTATCCAAAACTCATTAAAGTGACAACCTTTCTTTTTGTGTGTCTTTCAGATTCTTTCGTCAGTTTTTGACATTATTTGGTACACATCAGATGGCTCTATCTCTATTCCGGTTCATCGCTGCTCTTGGTAGAACAGATGTTGTTGCAAACACCTTTGGCACATTCACCTTGTTATTGGTGTTGGTACTTGGAGGTTTCATAGTTGCTAAAGGTATGCAAAATTATTTCCAGCCTCCAGTATTGGTAAAACGGTTAGCTAGTAGGCTCACAACATTCTAATTGATCAAATTGTTATAAGAATAATGTTCACTTAATTGGATGTAGATGACATAAAGCCTTGGCTGAAATGGGGCTACTATGTGTCTCCTATGACCTATGGGCAAAATGCATTAGCCACGAACGAGTTCTTGCACAAAAGATGGAGTGCTGTAAGTTTTTTCTGCTACATCCCTTTGAAACTTTGGCTTTCTAACATATAAAAATCCTCAAAAAATTTGTTGATCATGCATGCAGCCAAACATGGACCCCAGAATTGATGAACCCACTATAGGAAGAGCTATTTTGAACGAAAGGAACTTCTTTACGGATGACAACTGGTTCTGGATATGCAATGGAGCTCTCTGGGGATTCTCCCTTCTCTTCAACGCTTTATTCATTGCAGCACTAACTTTTTTAAACCGTACGTATATCATAACACGATTAATTGTGTAGAATTGTGAGATTTCAATACAAAATCTTATCCTCAACATCTCTCTTCAAGTGAAATTTGAGTTTTTCTTTTACCTCAAGTTGCCACTTTCTCAATAGAGCTAAACTTCTTTTTAAACTCCTAACTCTTGGGCTCTGGTATCATTTATAACTGGAAAAGGGAAGAGTAACTAGTCTTCTTTTATGTTTTTCTTTTCAAGCAATATGTTCTCAACAAATAATATAAATATCATTTCTTTCTCTTGCACACCTCACCTGGTTAGTTAATTAAATGCAATTATCTTAAATTTAGCTTTCAGTGAGTCAAGGGTTTCACTCTCAGAGGAAGTAGTACACAGCAAGAAGGAAGTTTCTCAAGGTTTGGAATTTGAAACTTAAGTACCATATAGGAATTTGAACTAAGTTTAGGCTCTTATTATTTCAAGAAACTGCAGATACCCATGAAGGAGGTGCCGTAACTTCTAAGAAAGGAATGGTTCTTCCTTTTGAGCACTTGTCAATTGCATTTAACCACATCAACTATTACGTGGACATGCCTTCAGTAAGTCATTATTTATAGTATACCCCAATTTCTATTGTTGAATTGTAAATTATAGATTGCTTCATGTAGAATTGTGAGATTTCACCTAACACTTTGGGTGTTCGACGTGAGATTATATCCTTAACGCTTTTTGCTTGTCACCTAATGTAAATATGTGATTGGAAACAGCAAATGAAGAGTGAGGGGATGAAGGAGGATCGTCTTCACCTCCTTTGTGACATTAGTGGGGCTTTCAGACCTGGAGTGCTGACTGCTCTTGTAGGTGTCACCGGTGCTGGAAAGACGACCTTAATGGATGTCTTAGCAGGAAGAAAGACCACTGGGTACATCGAAGGTAGCATCAGCATATCCGGTTACCCAAAGAACCAATCCACATTTGCCCGAGTCAGCGGTTACTGTGAACAAAACGATATTCATTCACCCAACCTGACCGTCTATGAATCTGTTCTTTATTCTGCTTGGTTGCGCCTTCCTGGACATGTAAACAAGAAAACCCGCGAGGTGCTTGTCTACACTATATTTCACTGAACTCGTTTTTTCCACTAATGCTCCATATGTATATGTTTACAAGTACGGTTGGTTATATGTGAGTGCAGATGTTTGTAGAAGAAGTGATGAGATTGGTTGAGCTTAATCCTATAAGGAACTCTTTAGTTGGGCTGCCTGGAGTTGATGGGCTTTCAACTGAACAGAGAAAACGGTTGACCATAGCAGTGGAGCTAGTTGCTAATCCATCCATAATATTCATGGATGAACCTACTTCTGGACTTGATGCCAGAGCTGCTGCCATTGTCATGCGGACCATAAGGAACACGGTTGACACCGGGAGAACAGTTGTGTGCACCATTCACCAACCAAGTATAGACATCTTTGAGTCTTTCGATGAGGTATGGCTCCAACTTTTGCAGGGAATTTGTTGGTGTAATCAAACATTTAGCATTTGTTTAGTTGATTAGTTACATAGTTTGTTAGTTTGTTAGGAAGATATTTTTGGTTGTTGTTTGTTTTCATTTTCTATATATAGGAGTTAATCATGTAATACAAAATTTGAGCTAGTTAATACAATGTGATCCTTTCATTTCCAACATGGTATCAGAGCCTTGATGACCAAGAGGTCACGAGTTCGAAACTCACCGCCACCCAGTTTAAAAAATTTAAGGTTTCACGTGCAAGGCTCAAAGAGGTCACGCCTGCACGTGAGGGGGCGTGTTAGAGTATATAACAATCATTCCTGGGCCACAACCACAAGCTTGAGCTTTTGGTTGAGTTGGTTTCTTGACATGGTATCAGAGCTGGTTGCTGTAGCTCCAAGCAATATTCCTTATCTTCAAATTTCTCTCTCGCACGCTTCAATTCCCAATTCTTCTCCATCTTCGACTTCAACTTGAGATTTCTGGCGATGGAGGAGTTGAATCGCCGATTCACCTATTATCTATGCCCCGATCGATTCATCTCTTAGCGTTGGTGGATT